TACTACTACTACTACTACTGCTGCTATTACTACTACCACTACTACTACTACTACTACTACTGCTACTACTACTACTAATACTACTACCACCATCAGCAAGAGCAGCAGCAGAGTAGCAGTAGTGGCAGTGCTGGTGGCGGTGACGGAGTTGATGGGTAATTGTCTTCGTGGAGGCAGTGTAGTCAAGGGCTCCCGGCTCGTCGTTTTTTTTGCTTGCCTCCGGCTTTTCAAGCGACATCCATGACAAGAGAAGGGACACCGTCACAGCTTAAGGTTTCGAGCGCGTGCTTCGAGCTCGCAACAGCCACATCCATGCCGGGCTGTAGAGCCCTCAGAGGTTTCAATTCCAGGCCCTGCATGTGCAAACTGTCGAGGCAGGGGAAGCCATCGGAAATCAGACTGAAGCCAAATCCCCAAGCTCAACGCGAAGCCCTGAAACCTGCAACGATGCGATTCAGACAATTTAGGGTTTTCTAGCACTGCATTTGGGTTGCAGAGGATGTTTCTCGTTTGGCAGAAACTTGGAAATTCGGACCCAGCAAAATCACAAAATATCAGGCCCATAAATACGGTACCTCTCCTTTCATGCTCGAGTCTAGAAGCTGTCTGACTTGTCTTTGCCAGGGAAGCTCCCGTTTTGCGTGGCCTGACGCAGATCCTCTGGAGACGTCGGGCTAGTCCTTTGTCGGCTTAAAACGTTATATAAGGGTTCTACGACGGTTCCAAAAGGGTCCTGTGAAAGGCTGAAGGCTCCCGCATAAGATTTCTCTCAGGGTTAGACGGTTTGGGCTTGTTCCACAGGATTTTCTTGCAGAGTTCTATATGGGGGTTGTGGGCTCATGTAGAGGGGCATCTACAAAGACGAGCAAAGAAAATGACGACCGCAACGACCACCGCCACGGCTGTCGGTGCTGGGTGCCCCTGCTCCACCACCAAGAAAAACCATCCTTGTTACCCTCATCAAAAACACAAGTACCATAATCGCCATCGGCACAAAACATCGCAAAGCTTGCTTGCAATCGTCGAAGCAGAATGATCGCCCTCAACACCTCAAAGAATCAAGATCCTTTGCATCCCAGACAGGATGTGACCAATCGCTGTATGTGTTGCTGCTGGTTGGCTGGATACGGCCCAACTTCTGGTCCCTGGTATGATCTGCTGATAGTGAGTGTGGCCGCATCGTTGCGAGCGGTGACGGTGGGATGTGGGGGTGGAAGAGGAGGGGGGGGGGGCGGTGCAGTCGTGAGAAAAGTGGTGATGGAACATGATGAGCATGAGAGAGGTGATGATGACGACGCGCATGAAACTAGGAATGAAAAGACAACGTAGAACACAAAAGACGAAGGCAGGAAGGACCCCAAGCGCACAAAGCCCCAAGAGCCTGCTCCAAGGACAGAACCCTCAATTCCAAGTCTATTGTCTAATTAGGGCTTTGGGTAAAAGGGGATTCGGAGTTTAGGATTTCGGGGTCGAGGGCAGCTTTCTCACTTTACGGTCCTCGACTGCACCCTCTTCTCGGAGAGCGGGCTCAAAAGCAGATCACCTCTGGCACTCAGTATTTCGTTAGGGCCATCAGGGTGTTACAAGTTTCGGCTTTGAGGTCTAGGGGTTGAGGGTTTGTGGACCCGGCGCTGGTCCATGGGCGGAAGACAAGGATGAGGCCTGCCAGTTTACAAGGGAGAGAAGTCGTAATTTGATCTAGTCTCCCGAAAATCTTGGCGTTCGTTGGTTGCTTGCCAGTTCTATGCTCAGGATCATTGATAAAGACACAAGGCAACTACAACAGAAGGTATATGCAGTCACGGAAAGCACAATCGCCTTCTTCGGGTTGGTGCACTGAGGCGTGGACGTTGCACCAAGTCGCTAAAAGAACTCTCGAAAACGACAATCTTGTTTTGCTTAAACGGTTTTCGTTGGACAAAAAACGACAGCACATTCTCTCAATGTGACAACCAACGAAAATCATATACAACTGAACACACGGATAATTCCCACGCAAAATCAGTACACCGCAAAAGATCGTGCCATAAATGTCCATAGATGCCGAGCCAGAGCAATAAATGTCGATAGATGCCGAGCAAGGAATATCACATTATTCGCTTAGAACTCAAAGGAACTGAAGATAAATACAAGGCACGCTCCCAAATCGATAAACAGCTTAATATGTCTATTTATCTTGCTACAAGTATCGAAGAAAACGAACCATCTGCTCAAATGCATGAATGCAAATCTGTCCCCGCTAGATACCACGGTACAAACCTTCTTTATGAATTTGGAGTTTAGGTTCAGGCCGACTGCCTTGACCCGAGCCTCTTGACTCTTGAAGTCGTCTCACATACTAATCAAGTAGGATTCGAAAGATGAATTTATATAACAGGTTAGCTGGAATCCAAGCTGAAGTGCCAAGCCATTATCCTAAGCCCTAACCCATTCCCTTCTCAGCCACGCACGTGGCGCAAAGATCATACTTGAGGCGTTGCTCGGAGGGTCTGTATCATCCTCAGAACACCAGGTACTTCTGTGAGCAAATCCTGCCTTACCCTAAGGACCACAGATTATGAGAGCTGCGGCATGTTCATTCTGACAATATGGACAAACCATGAAGGATCAGGTCCATCAGTAGTATTTGTGGCATGACTATTATTATGATCGTTGCTGGTGCTGCCTACATGCTCGGTGCACAGGATGCGAAACATGGTTACTGTCACTAATCTTTATTTGCAGCGCTGCCACTGAAAGTCTTACTCTTTTGGCCATGGCTTGCTCATGACTACTACTGTTTCCAGCATGTTCAGATTTTTCGTATTCTGTTTATGATGGTTACTGATGCTGCTAGCACTGTGATTCGGAGTCGCGGGTGAGCTCTTCTTCTTGATGTTTAGCATCTTTGTGGCTTTCGTTGGAAGATAATTATAGTTATGGTACCTTTTAAAATCTAGGCTCAGAGCCAAACAGAGGGTTCATCCTCTGAGCATCTGTTTAAGGTTCAGGGTCTAGGGTTTAGGATCGCGTCTGTGTGCGCGATGCATTAATGTTTAAACATTTGAGGCTTAGGATCTGGGCCGTATCTTGTTCTGGCAACCTCCTCCCCAGCCAGAACTCTCAAGATCTAAGCAGACCCAGGCCGTCGACATAATATCCTTAGATTTAGAGCTTTCTCACTTACAGGACAGAAGTTCTTGTGATTTTGGGCTCTAGGATTACGAATGAAGGGCTTTTCACCTTGGATGTCACCTTTATCAACCCAAAGCTCCCCGAGCTTCACCTTAACGGCTTACGGCCGCAACCCTTGATCGCTTGATGATTGGGCACGTACTGTAGAAGCCTTAAGAGTTAGAATAGGATTTTGCAGTATGTTCCACTACTATAATCAGGACCCCGCCCCCAACCAAAAAAATCGTGGTAATTATTTGGGCTCCTTTGGTACTTGCAAAAAATCGGTTCGGCGCTTCGGGGCTTCCTCGGAGCCGTCGGAAATGGGCTTTAGAGGGCTTGAGGTCTAAGGACCCTTAAAGCCTATAAGCCCTAAAGTTTTCTTTCACGGGTTTAAGGAACCCGAAACCCACAACCTTAACCTTCAGCCAACACCCTGAGCCCGAAGCTTTTGACCGCAAAGCTGAAATCTCCAATTTCTGCTTTGGCTTGCAAGGCCCGGACAGGCATTGAAATTACGACCGACGACGTCCCCCCAAACTGACCTTAAACCTGAAACCCTAGCCACTAATCTCTATACCGTAAACCCCAAAACCCTGAACGCCAATTCCAAAAACCTAACCCATAATCCCGATCCCTAACTAATCCTTGAAGCATCTTAAAACCCCGAACCCCAACGAGTCTTTCAGACTTTAAACGGATTTAGGGCTTAGGGGTAAGATGCTGCCGAATCTCGTCACTGTCGTCCCTCTCACCATCTGCACCCTCCAGCCCCTTCGACACGTGCTCCGACGAAGAGGTGGTAACCTCCATAGTTCATGGCTCCGGTCTCCCAATAAAGCAACAAAGGGTTCGGAATAGCACGACCACGCTTTATAGCCCCTTTCTATACGCTTATATTCTGCGATATATACCTATATACATATACATAAACAGATATATATATATATATACATATATATATACACATATATACATATGTATATATATATATACATAAATTCTTTTTCTTCTTCTGATAAAGCCGGCTCATCGGGATGAAGGCGTTCGTTGTTGAGTAAATCAAGGTTTGGAGCTTGTGCCCGCATGTCGAAGGAAGCCAGGCGGTTTAGGGCGTTTTTTGGGGGCTTGGGGTTTACGGTTGCGGCTACAGTGTACAGCATGGGACGCCCTGAAACCTTGAGAGTCTGTTGAGACAGTGAACCCTGCTCCTGTCAGCGTGATTACACAGGGTTCGTCTGATGGGGTCCTCCTAGCGGTCTACGTACACGTTTAGGGCTTTGGACTGGCCTCTCACGATCCAACAGCCGATAAGGTGAGACGATACGATTTAGAGTTTAGGATTACTTATGTGGTTCTAAAGGGCCCTTGAAGGGTTCCAGAGGGGGTTCAAGCATTCTGGTTTGGGGCTGTTGATTGGGGATTTCGGGTTTGGGGTTTGGGCTGCCAGGGTTGAGTGCTTTAGGGTCTTGGGCCGTCTTGAGTTTAGGGGCTGCGCTGTATTCCTCCACCACTGAAGCCGAACTAAGAAGTAACCCCTCCCACTCAGTTGAATTTAAGCGCACGGAGTTCGATTCCACGAGACTTAAATACTAAACCATAAACGTTACCCTTGTCTGGACAAAATTATTGACAAAGGATCATCATTAACCCCTAAGAAGCAGCAGCAGCAGCAGCAGCAGCAGCAGCAGCAGCAGCAGCAGCAGCAGCAGCAGCAGCAGCAGCAGCAGTAGGATGCTGATTTCAACAAGCCCATTACAAAAATATAATCTCAAAGCCTCGTTAGCACACAGTGCTAAGCCTTCTGCAATCCTGTACAACACTGTGTCTGCAAGCCGTAACACACCGTGAAAAGCCTATCTAAAACCCAACCGCTAAATAATCCGTAAATGCCCGCATCAAGCCGTTGACAGCTCCCTGTAATTCCCTTCAACACTCCTCAAAATCTCAGAAATCTCATAAACATATGGGACTTTCCCAAGCCTTACGAAATTATGAAAGCCCATATTCTGCTCCGAGTAGCGGCGCCCCGCCGGGAAGCGGCAGAGATCATTGCTGGTCCGTTTTGGCTCTCGAGGATCCAATCATGCCGCAATGCCTTCATCGACTCACGAGGATTTGTCGGGTGTACAAAGGGCTCTATTGTGACTTCTCATTATTCTCGTAGTGGTGGCAGTCGTAGTCTACCTACTATTACTACTACTACTACTACTACTACTACCACCACTACTACTAACCACTAACTACTAACTTCTAACTACTAACTACTGACTACTAAC